GAAGCGCCCGAGGGGGTGTGGGAAAAGTATCAAATTACATGATTCCAGTGGAGATATTTTGTTTAACAGTTAAAAACATTATTAAGTTCAAAATACTTGCTAATTTTTGTTTATTTTCTTTGCTTTGGAGCGATTATAGAATACCCGGCCACTTTTGAATTTTGATAGTGTTTGGTTTTGGGGGATACGGGGATACGCAGTCATTAAAATGACGTAATTATTCGAGTAGTTTAAAAGGAGAATGGGTAACTATTATATTTCAATGATACGGGGATACGCAGTCATTAAAATGACGTAATTATTCGAGTAGTTTAAGAGGAGAATGGGTAACTATTATTTTTCAATGATACGGGGATACGCAGTCATTAAAATGACGTAATTATTCGAGTAGTTTAAGAGGAGAATGGGTAACTATTATTTTTCAATGATACGGGGATACGGGGATACGCAGTCATTAAAATGACGTAATTATTTGAGTAGTTTAAAAGGAGAATGGGTAACTATTATTTTTCAATGATACGGGGATACGGGGATACGCAGTCATTAAAATGACGTAATTATTTGAGTAGTTTAAGAGGAGAATGGGTAACTATTATTTTTCAATGATACGGGGATACGCAGTCATTAAAATGACGTAATTATTCGAGTAGTTTAAAAGGAGATTTATACTAATGAGTAATATTTTGTGCAGGGTTTGGTGAGAACGTGAGAAATACAATATATGAGTAATATTTCGTGCGGGGTTTATTGAGAACGAGAAATACAATATATGAGTAATATTTTGTGCGCGGTTTAGTTGAGAACGTGAGGAATACAATATATGAGTAATATTTTGTGCGGGGTTTATTGAGAACGAGAAATACAATATATGAGTAATATTTTGTGCGGGGTGTATTGAGAATGAGAAATACAATATACGAGTAATATTTTGTGCGGGGTTTATTGAGAACGAGAAATACAATATATGAGTAATATTTTGTGCGGGGTTTATTGAGAACGAGAAATACAATATATAAGTTATATTTTGTGCGGGGTTTATTGAGAATGAGAAATACAATATACGAGTAATATTTTGTGCGGGGTTTATTGAGAACGAGAAATACAATATATGAGTAATATTTTGTGCGGGGTTTATTGAGACCGAGAAATAAAATATATGAGTAATATTTTGTGCGGGGTTTATTGAGAACGAGAAATACAATATATGAGTCATATTTTGTGCGCGGTTTAGTTGAGAACGTGAGGAATACAATATATGAGTAATGTTTCGTGCGGGGTATATTGAGAACGAGAAATACAATATATGAGTAATATTTTGTGCGGGGTTTATTGAGAACGAGAACTACAATATACGAGTAATATTTTGTGCGGGGTTTATTGAGAACGAGAACTACAATATATGAGTAATATTTTGTGCGGGGTTTATTGAGAACGAGAAATACAATATATGAGTAATATTTTGTGCGGGGTTTATTGAGAACGAGAAATACAATATATGAGTAATATTTTGTGCGGGGTTTATTGAGAACGAGAAATAAAATATATGAGTAATATTTTGTGCGGGGTTTATTAAGAACGAGAAATACAATATATTTATAACCCTTTATTATTGAAAATATAGATTATTTGATTAACGATTCCCCGTTTATTTTGATACCGAAACATTAGAATAATTACGTAATTTCATTCACTGCGTATCACCGTATCCCCGTATCATTGAAACTTAATATTTACCCAAACACTCGAATAATTACGTCATTTCATTCACTGCGTATCACCGTATCCCCCCAAAATAAACAGTATCAGAAATGGACGGGTATTCTATAATCTAGCCAAGATTTTATACAGTTATTTGAATATTTCTAGATTCTAGCTTGCTGTGTGCCTGTGTCTGCTTGCTTTTATATTAAACTCGATAGAAAAAAAATTAAGAAATGTACGAAGCACAAACCATAGGGAAATGGTTGGGAATCCTGTAAATTTTATTGATTTTAATACCACTAGTCTCTGTGTTTTCATAGCCATAGGGTTTTAAAACCTGCTTATAGTGTCAAAATCCTCACTGTGCACTTACTGTATATTTATTTTATAGCACTACAGGCTTTTATAGTATTATAGAGATATAAACAAATTTTCCCTGACAAACTTTGAGTGATATATATAGCCTTGCCAGCGGTTCTTGTAGCAGTTATATATAATGACTGTGTATACTGTAGTTATATTATTTATCACTTCTACAACAGGCAGGTGAAAATTAAATTGTTTTGCTGAATATGCTGGGCCAATTAAAGGCCATTAAAGATATCAAGTTCAAACCATTCAAATGATTCAATACCCATTGCAATCAAGCAATGACCATAAACCTAAGCCCCAATGACAGACCCCAAATATAAGCCCTCCTGTGTAGAAATGCACCACAAGGGTGCATCGGGGTGCAATGCAACTCAATGGGTTAACTATAGGCACATGCGCAGATAGGCCAGTTAACCCATTAAGCTCCAGCGCTCTCCCCTTGACGAGTAAAATCGTCTGGCATTAGACAGAGTAAAATATCAAAGTAGGGTGCATCAGGGTGCAATGCAACTCAATGGGTTAAATCCCTCTGTGTGAGCCCATAAACTTATTTTTGGACAGGTATTTTTTAATGCAGCGAAGGGGATTCCAACAGCTCAGCCCATCAAAAATGCTATTGAATGAATATAAGCATTGGGTCGTTCCAGAAAAGATCCACACTCCCACACGGAGGAAATTTCTGCCGTCCGGAGGGGGAGGGGAGAATAAATTGTTTCTGATAATTGTAAATGTATTAGGACATCCGAAGGGGGTAGGGGAGTTAACTTCCAATTTCCTCTGTGGGGGTGGTATGGATGTTTTCTGGAATAACCCATTCAGAGGTTTACATGGTATTCATCTGCCCAACATAGTATGTCAGAGTTATATAAATTCCACAGCCATTAGAGTTGTAGACTTGTAGTTAGGTATTTGTAGGAATGAAGGGTGTCTACGTGCCAGCCAATGCATATTCGCTGCCAATCAAATTGCCGATGATTGATAACATGTACATTTGAGAGCATCTTCAGTGGTGGTATCCCCAGTATTGGAGTAGAGCCCAACTGTTCAGTTAGACATTATTTACGAACTTCCTCTCTTATATCTGCATAGATTATTTTTGATATATTGTAATGTAAAATGAAACTTTGGGATAGTTAAGAAATACAATTAATCCATTTATAATGGACAAGATTGTCCCCTTAACAAGTAAAATTGCCTGGCATATTAGACGGACTTATAAATGACATACCATATTAATTTTTAAAACCATTAGGTTGCATTGTGCCCTAATGCACCCTACTTTATTATTTTACTCTGTCTAACACCAGACAATTTTACTTGTGAACTGGAGAGCCACTCAGTGCTCAATGGGTTAACATGTCAATGTCTAACTGAACCGTCTGGGCTCTGCTCTACAGTAAATTTCCTTGTAATTGGAGTCTGGGATCTGTGACCCAATACATCTTCAGTTTCTTCATATGGTACTGTCACTATTTTATATGTATAATGGACATTTTTCATTTAGGGTGAATCTGATGTACAAGTCATGTGGACAAGAAATTAATACAAGTTCTTTTGAATGTTCAAATAGCAAGGGTTAAGTGGTGCACTAGCTCTTGTCAGACTTAACTGCATGCCAGAACTAACAATTACTTTTCTCTATAATTTTGTGGGAATGTGTTATTTGTTTATGTAATATGTTCTACAAACAGCCAAAGAATAACCCATGAGCTCTAGTTTTAATTTTTTAATAATACTGTTAAGTATTACATGTAACGTGATTGTACAGTTAGGTTTTAATATTATTTATTGCTAATGGGTCATTCCAGAAAACATCCATACCACCCCCACAGAGGAAATTACGTACATTTACTATTATCAGAAACAATTTTTTCCCTCCTCCCCCTCCGGACGGCATTAATTTCCTCCGTGGGGGGAGTGTGGATCTTTTCTGGAACGTCCCAACTGGATAATTATTCTTTAACCATGCAAGTTGAATTAAAATAAATAATATACAAAATCAAGCAAATTTTTGTCTTTAATTAATTTTGAAACAATTAATACATGTTTCTTGGAGGTTCACTAACAACAGTGGCATGAACTCATTGTGGGAGCATTCTGCAATAAGCAAGAATTGATTATAGCCATAGGGGCTATCAATATGGAAGCCAGGCTGGCCTGGTTGGCAGAACTATTTATTATTTCCAGATTAATTTCCTTGCCGACACAATTCTCTATTGTTTTGACAATATTTCCATGACCAATGTTGTATTGACTTTACTTTGACCAGGTCAGTCCAGTTAGTGTTTATATCCATAAAATATCTTCCCAGTGTAACTGAGAGCTTGCCTTCTTCAGGTGAGATCTGAAAACTGAGCCAGTCCGGTTGTCCATACAATTTGAAAGGAATTTCCACTATAAAAATAACCACACAGTGAGTGAGACCTTGCTTACTGGCCTAGGGCTAGCTGTCACATTAGCCCCTACCTCAGGAACACCAGAAATATGCCAGCAGTTGAGTCAATTAACCCAATACTTATAGGGATGGGGCAAACAAGTTAATGCATGGCCTTTTAAAGATACATACAACAAACTATCAGAGAGGACACAATATACATGCAAACTTGGGCAAAACATATGCATTTTCAGATCAGCTGAGCTTTTTCCAGCACCAGTTCTGAGCTCATGCATGAAAAAACCCGGTCTTGGCTAAATCTATAAAACCTTACTTCCCTCTTTAATATACTAGCACATCATAGTCTCATGTCAACTCAAATATTTGTCAAATTCATATACATGTACAACCATTAATTCCTTGGGATTGAGGGATGAAATTATTATATTTTAAAATTAAAAGGCTCGTCTACAACCACATTATAAATACTCGTGGCTTATTTTCTAAAAAATAGAGTACATTCTACCATTTATTCCTAACATTTTTTCATGAAATATTTAAAATAGTAATGTGAATTTTGAAAAATGTATAAATACCTGTTTATAGTCTGTAAAATACGGATGTTTGTTCTGGCTTGAAGTATCGTTTTTGCCCACATTTCGCGAGGTTTTAATAGTTGTTTGTTGTCTTTCACGCTCCACGGACGAGAATTAACGTGTACAGCTTCCACGTCTTTGAACAAATTGTCAACAGGCGAAAAAATATGTCGAAAATATCAAAACAACAAGGATTCACTGCAAATTGCAAAAAGCCGAAATATTTTTATAAAAACCAGGGGGGAGTGAAAACTGTGGCGGGCTCATAATTGAGCCTTGTTCAGTGGCAATTACCATGAATTTAGGGACCAGTAGTCATGGAAATGGCGTCATTTTTCATCAAAATCCGCCATTTTTTTGGCGACACTTCGTTGACTGAACGAAGTATAGGAGCAGGTCCTCCAGTTATTATACAGCTCAGTGGTTTCCACGCCCGTGTCACAGAATAGGAAGTTATACCAGAAGCGTAACTCGAGCAAATATTTGTCCGCGTATTTACAAGCGATTCGTCATCAATCACGCCATCCTGGCTAGTACAACCGGCACTTTGTACCTACCAAATCCTGATAAAAACTTCCGGCTGTACTAGCCAGGATGGCGTGGCCTGACGTGAGCGAGTTCAAAATTTTCGTGGACGTCAAACAATAAGGGAAACGACTAGAGTTACGCTTCTGGTATAACTTCCTATTCTGTGCCCGTGTTTTACTACGCCCTGGCGTCAGCAAACATGAAAATCCGCCATGTTTTTCCGGACACTCGTTTGACTGAAAGATAGATAGGAGCACGTCCTCCAGTAATATTATAGCTCAGTGGTCCCAAATCCTCGTGGTAATTACCACTGAGCAAGGCTCATTTTGAGCCCGCTACCACTTTCTCATCCCCCTGATTTTCACAAAAATATTTTAGCTTTTTGTTTTGAAGTTTGCCTCGGTGTTTGCCTTCTCTTCGACATATTTTTAACATTTGTTTCGAGTTGCACAAGTGGTAAGAATCATCCTGGCTAGTGAAAGACAGGGAACGAATATTCAAACCTCAAGAAATTTTGGAAAGACGTTATTTGTAAAGGTAAAAAAATACTGTTTATATGTTCAATCAATATTAATTTGTGATAGAGTGTGTCAAAACAAAGCGAAATAAACAGCCCATTTGTACTGTGTAGTGGACAATTTTAGCAACTGATGTATACAATTAAGTTGCCCAAACTATATTAATACGAGAAACAGTCTTCCTCGAAAGAAAATGGTTGAAATTTCAGATTTTAGTTTCATTTGTTATTTCAAATTTTACGATATAAAATGCCAGTCAACCACCATCTGCTTCATGATCATACTTATTAAAATTAAAGTGGTTTCTATTATATTAGTATACCTATAGAGGAAGACCTTTTTAAGCCAGAACTATCATGGCTTGGCTTTGAATGATTTAATCCATGTACTTTATAACTGGCCACTTATGGCAATGAAATTATAATGACTAATGTGTAGAATTATCAAGTCTAGATCCAAAAATTGGCAGTTTCATATATAAGATCAGGCATATATAAGATCAAAGCTATTTTCATATATAAGATCAGGTTTAGAGGCCTGTAGCATTTTCTCTAGAAATTGCATGAGTAAAATCAATTTCATAATTAAATAACCCGTTGAGCCGCAATGCGCCCTATTTATTTTTTTACTTGCCAGATGATTTTACTTGTCAATGGGGAAGCTCTGCAGCTTATCGGTTAACCAAAAAAAACTGACAATGTCTCTAGTTTTTTTTTACTTTCTAAAGCCAGACAATATTACTCGTCAATGGGGAAGCTCTGCAGCTTAGTGGGTTAATTAGAAAATGAACCATTCTTGACATTCACTCATGATATTTGATGTTGGTAATTCATGTATTTTTGGAGGAAAATATTTTAGACAGTGGTTGTTTGCCTGACACCAAACCCCAATATTTACATGCTATTTGTCTAAGTGAACTATTTCCTCATTTTCAACATGCCAAAGTGATACAAAATAAATTTCAGTTAAATTCAAGGAGGTCCTCGGGCCCGTAAGTTGTCAACTGACGACTATCACCTTCATTGTTAGTTAAGCATATATCTGCTTAAGTCCTGGGTTCAAATGAGTGGAATTTCAAGAGCATTCTGACTGGCTTTGTGCAAACAGGGGGCCTTACCGGTTAGGATGAGGGCCAGTTGAGGTGTTAGGGTTGGGTGCAGGCAAGGTTCATGTAAACTTATTGTTAGCAAGAATCAGAGAAGGATTTTCATATTTTTGTTCGGGGGGGGGGTAAATATCTGGGGGGGTGATGCTGCTTGCTTTGGCCGGGGCAACGCCTGGAAAGGCCAAGGAAAAAGTTTAACAAAATTTGTTTTCTATGTCTGCATGGCAAGATCTGAGACCATAATATTGGTAATTTTACAAATTTAGTAGTAAGAATAATCAAATATGAAACTATCAAATCAAAATATATATAATTTGTGGGGGTGCAAACAAAAACTTTGGGGGGCAGTGCCAAATGCCTCTTGGGGGGGGGGGGGGTTTGCAAATAATTTCTGTGGTACACCCCCCCCCCCCAGAAAATCTGTGCCTGGCAAGAATGTTATGTGTACATAATCATGTGTAATGTTGTTTGGATTAATTGCATTTAAACGTTGGAATCCAGTGTCGAACAGTAACCACAACAATTATTATATAAAGTATTTGGTTGTTTTAGTGTAATATTAATTTCTCACATATTTTTTTCAGAAATAAAGCACCATTGAGCAACTTGTTGGGAAAGAGGAGTCACAAACTGTTGATGAATATTTAATTAACTACACATAAAATACAATTTTATTAACAGTATATTGATTTATGGGTTTATTAGACCACATTATTTTCATATTATTAATAATGAAAAAATAAAATTAACAAATAAATTACAAAATCAGTGTGAAAATATTGCAATAATCAATTAAAATGTCAAACCAGCCAATTGTTTCAAATTATAGCTGTTATCGTAATTGAATATGTCTATGCTATGGACCAGTGGTATCTGCATTATTTTAACATCGAGACGAGGCTATAGGGTCATGTTTTGTGTTTTTTTACCCTTTAGCCTTGTTTTTGTCCGTACTTCCACTGAGATACCACTGGTTCGCCACAGCGGGTATTCAAATACGATAACAGCCATTATGCATTTGTGAGTGTAACCTAAGCCCCTCCCCCCCTGAGAGAACAAGAGAGTTGCTGTGGGCCCCTATTATCCCTTTTGATAAGTCAGGCAATCCACCACATAATTTTCCTTTCAAATGCCAGACGAATATACTTGTCAATGCAAGGGGAGAGCTTTGGCACTCTATGGGTTGACCAGTATGCGTCTATGCATCCTGTTAAGCCTTTGATAAGTCTGAATGCAACACAATGCACCCTACTTTATTATTCTGTCTAATGGCAAATTTTATTTGTGAAGGGGAGAGTGCTGAATGAGTTGACCTGCACCCTGATGTGCCCTACTTTTAGTATTTTACTCTGTCTTATGCCAGAGTATTTTACTCTGTCTAACGCCAGATGATTTTACTCATCAAGTGGAGAGTGCTGCCCCTCGATGGATGGATGAATGGAATATTATACTAATTGCTTTGAACAAAGGTGATTCCCTTTGTGGCATAAAATTTAACCAGGGCATTCTTCAAGTTTTCAACACATCTCAGGATTTTTCTTGGCATCTGGAAAAGTGTAATAGAATACATCCAATCAGTCATCTACTATATTATGTATATAATTTGATCTACATGCTATTGAACATTATATTATTTTTTTTCCCATTTCAAATATTAAAATATGTCGATCTTTCAGACATAGAAATTAGAGTGTTGTGAAATAAGCATCCCCACCCATGTACTATCCATAAATTCATATTCGTCAAGAAAAATTCATGTCTATTTGCTGGCCTTTTTATATATGAACTAAAACTTTACTTGTACAACTATCTATTGGAACCTTCGCAGAGATGCCTCCTATGTTAGCCATGAAAGAAGATTAAAATTGTCTGTTAAAATCACAACTCAAAATTGTAGTGTGAGCCTTGCAAGCTTTTATTCAACACTTTATACTCCTACAGCTCGAGACACTTGTTAGGAACAGTTTTGATCTTTTTTGTGCCCATTACAACCATATATTGGGCCTCTTATGACAATATATTAAAACCCCAGGATAAGTTCGACTATTGACACCATGGCATTTGTGACTTGACACTGCTTGACACTTGTCCATCATTTTAAGCCTTATAAAGGCATTTCTATTACAATACTGTATGTGAAAATTGATGTTGGGGCTGTTGGATCTTTGGGTAAGGACTCCAGAGGAAAACAAAAACTATAACCTACCCAAATGGCAAAATAAAACACAACGAAAAGTGATAAAGGCAGAATAACACCAGCTGCTGTACAGCGTCGTTATATTTGTAAATTTCGTATCCAATTTTTTCTTTTAAAAAACAGAATTTAGTACAAATGAAGCACAGAGAAAGAGTTTAATATACATCTTACCGGTAAAAAGAAGTGTTTCTTCTTGATATTAAAGAATTGTGGCATCATGAAGCCATGCAAAAACTCGGCATTTTTTCTTGATGTTTTTTATATAAAATTTTCAGCAGAGTTTCAGCTTTTTTGTGCAAAAACCAGGGGGGTGAAATTGTCGTCTGAAACCGAGGATCGCGGTTGGTCAGTGGTAATTACCACGAGGATTTGGGACCAGTGGCGTCATTCTGGCGTCAGCAAACGTGAAAATCCTTGGAAATCCGCCATGTTTTTGGCTTCACTTGCTTGACTGAAGAGAGATAGGAGCACTTCCTCCAGATATATTATAGCTCAGTGATATTAATAGGTCGGTCAAGGAATAATCATATCCTGGAGCTAAGGTTGGTAAAAATTACTATTATTTATTGTTTTGAATAAATCAAAGATTTTAAATGATAGAATGTTGAGTTAATTAAGTAATTTACAGGGTTTTCAGAGAGAATTTATAGAATTTATATTGGTCCAAAAATATTAAGGGTTAAGCATGTTTTAACAGGAATTAGCAGACACCCCCCGAATTAAAAGGGGCTAGTTTCGCTCCTGGATATAGCTCTTATAGCAGATACCATTTAGTGTTACTCATAATTAGACTTAAAATAGAGTTAATTTGTTTATTTTGCGTTCGTGGCGAAGAGTTTTCAAACGTTTTCACCCGTTTTCAAAATTACGCGATCAAGGACGAAAATGCATGCTAGAGTTGACAGGTTGACATGTCAGTTTTATGTCATTCGGTCACGAAGTTTAAACTTTGAGTTTTGCGGTTCCATGTCGATGTATATGCTTTGTATGCTTTATATAAACAGGCTTACAATGATTTCAAGATACTTTTTCGTGGGAATTATTGCAAAATTTAAGCACAAACAAAATCATAACATCACCGTTCTCATACATATCCAATATTACGATACGCAACGAATGGTAAAAATGTTTTAACCATCGGTAAATACGAATACCGATTCGTCACCTGCAGTGCCAAAAGAAACATGATCTCATTATTAGGATATTCACCGACGGTATGCCGCGGTGATAGGATTCACAATCTGTCATCTGCAGTGTCAAAAGAATCGTGAAGAGATGAAGACTTAATCTTATCTTAATTGACGAGCACTGCAGGCTTACTATAACGCCTGGATATCACTTCATGAGTTTGCTTCGTTTTTAAGAAACACGCTTTTGACGCTTTATATAAACGCACTGACATTTAAAACACCAGACCGTGCATTTAAATATTATATGTCTACATGAGTTTGCTTCGTTTTTAAGAAACATGGTTTATATATACGCATTGATATTTAAAACACCGCAGTCCATGCATTTAAATATATATGTCTTCATGAGTTTGCTTCGTTTTTAAGAAACACGCTTAGTTATATAAATACATTGATATTTTGATATTTAAAACATTACTCCGTGAATATATGCTACGCATTGATATTTAAAACACCAGTCCGTGCATTTAAATATGATATATGACTTCATGAGTTTGCTTCGTTTTTAAGAAACACGGTTTATATAAACGCATTGATATTTATTAAAACACCAGTCCGTGCATTTAAATATGATATGTCTTCATGAGTTTGCTTCGTTTTTAAGAAACACGATTTATATACTGGGTGTCCCAAAAAAACTATACCCTGTTTGATTTCATGTACCGTAAAACCTATTACAGCTATTTCACTAAAATAAAAAGCATTGTATTCACAAAGGGTTAACTTAGATTTTGATATATAACATTTACATTTTCGTGCCATATTCACACAGCTATTAGCCTATTAACGTTTCAAAGTTGAACTGACATTTCTGAAATGTTAAAAATTAGCATAAAACAGCATATCAAATTCCAATTTAGTTTTTGATAATTTTTATTCTAGCTAAAAGAATGCCTTCTTGAAATTATGTACAAAAGAATGGACTAATATGAGTTTACTCATCAGGAAAAGCGTGTCGATACAAATCCAAACTCGTTGTTGTCTTTTGTTAACTTAAGGCTAATCGACATGCAATGTTTATTTCATTGCCAATTTGATTTTAAGTGTAATTTTTAAAGTAAATTTGCAAGGGAATGATCCAAAATTAAAGATAAAATCACTGAAGTTAAAAAGATTCCATGTAAAGTGAAAACTGCTTTCAATTTAGTTTCAGTGATGCGGCGATTTTTGTTGTTTTTTCGCCAATTTCAAAAACTCCTCGCAACTTCAAACACTTGTATTTCTGTCAATACTGCACGGAAAATCAAATGTTATTTATCAAAATCTATAAGTTTATTATTTGTGAATACAATGGTTTTTATTTTAGTGAAATAGCTTTTATAGGTTTTACGTTACATGAAATCAAAGAGGGTATAGTTTTTTTTGGGACACCCGGTATACGCACTGATATTTAAAACACCATGAGTCCGTGCATTTAAATATGATATGTTTTTATGAGTTTGCTTCGTTTTTAAGAAACACGGTTTATATACAGATAGTTAAGAACTAGATACTCAATTATGTTACAAATTTATACAAACTCACAAACTCTACACTTGTGAAGCAGGCATGGGCGTACCGGAAGGAAAAAATTAGGGGGGCGGAAAGAAAATTGCCCGACTTTTCGGGATTTTGCCCGACTAGTACCAAAAAATTTTTCCGGAAAAATTTTTCTGGCGACCTCCCCCCCCGTCGCCAAAAAAATTTCGGTCAGTGTACCATTTTAGGGGTCAAAAAAATTTTCCGGACAACCAATTTTTCGGAACATACACAAAATTTTCGAAAAATCTCAAAATTTGCCAACAAATTGACTTAATTTTAGACAAAATTTACAGAATTTGTCACATTTTTTTTTATTGCAAGCCGAAATTGCCCGACTGTTGATCCAATATTGCCCGACTGCCCAAAAAACTGGGGGGGCGGCCGCCCCCCCCGCCCCCCCGCCCGGTACGCCTATGGAAGCAGGCATTTCTCAGCTCCAAAGAATTATACCTAAATGGTAAAGAATCTTTTTATTTTAAATACTGTAAATCTATTGCATAAACATTTCCCCACACTGGAAAAAACAGTCGATTTAGAACATTTTATCAATGACAACAAAGTAAAAACTATAATCGATCAAATAGAAATTAATTACATTTCGGAATGGAAACATCAAGTAAACAATTCTTCTAAACTTTCTTTTTACAACAAAATTAAAAAAGAATATAAATTGGAAGAATATCTAACCACAATAAAAAACCCATGTCAAAGACGACTCTACACAAAACTCCGGATAAGTAATCACAAATTACTAATTGAATATGGTCGATACCAACAAATACCGAAAGAATATGCAAACATTGCAATCTGAACTCCATCGAAGATGAATTTCACTTTGCTTTTGAATGTCAAAAATATGAAAATATAAGAAACAACTCTAATAATATACTACAAACTTTCTTTCAAATGAATCTACCTAAAGATTCAAGAGAAGATTTGTTGACACATATAATTTCAAACACAGACCCAGTATTAACAAATCTATTTTCAAATTTTATTGCAAAATGTTTTAATGTCAGAGACAAATGCCTTAAGATACAAAGCCCATAGCATGTGGTGTTACTCAATTATCTATTCACAAAAACAAACTATTAGGTATATGAACTACTCCGTAGTCATAATTTGTTTATGTTATTGTTACTCTTATAATCTTTACTATGTAATATACTTTAGCAATACCTGTAATTAGTTAAGGTCATGCTAATAAAGTTCTTAATAATAATAATAATACATACGAATTGATATTTAAAACACACAAAACTCTGCCCCACTAAATATCATACATATACGCACCATGCATGATCAGTATTTAAAACACACTCAGTTGGTGCAAATATATGCATAATATACTTCATCAGTTACTGAAAATGCACAATGTAACTATATTAAAATTTAAGTGCGACATTACATAGTAACCAGTTTATCAAAGAAGACAAAAATATATACAAGACAACCTCACATGTGGAATCTGTTTACTTACGCACAGCCTTGTGATGCAGCAGGCACGGATCACGGGCACGCAGCCCCCCAGAGGCATTTGGCACCGCCCCTAAAAAGTTTTTGCACCCCTCAAATTATACATATTTTGATTTGATATTTTCCTATTTGGTTATTCTTATTACTAAATTTATAAAATTACTAATATTATGGTCTCAGATGCCGCCATGCAAGCCTAGAAAAAAAGTTTTGTTAAACATTTTCCTTCACCTTTCTGGACGTTGCCACCAGGCCCCGGTCAAAGCAAGCAGCAGCACCCCCCCCATATTTATCCCCCCGCCCGATGTGATGCAGTACAAGTACAAATACAAATGACAAAGCATTGTTAATTAAGGCATTAAATCCTAAAACATAATTAAACGATACGGCACATTTAAGATTTTAATATCGTATTATGCCGCGTTTATACTGCTTGGCGCGCATTCGCTGAGTTATATTAATTTATATACCTATGTTATATACACAGATTTATTTCTAATAAATCAACACTATATGATAAATAATTCACAAAGTGCAGACACCTTTTTATAAAATAAACCTTTAAAAGCATGTCATTGTCATTGCAGACCAGAGGCAAAAAGCACAGCCCCATGCCAAGTTTAAGCAATCGTGAGATTATATACATGGAAAGAATATGGAAATTATGTTAAAAGCACCCCGTATAATGCTCGAACCACTGCGTACAGTATAATGGCAAACACACCGTGTGTATAATGGCGAAAGCACCACGTATAATGCTCGAACCACTGCGTATAATAGCGAAAGCACCGCGTATAACGCTCGAACCACTGCGTATCGACAAAATGCCGTTTGATCACTTACGCCAGCTATGGGCTTTCCATAAAAGAAAACCAAAGATGAAAGATGATCACATTGCTTGTTTGCCTTATGCCTGTTTATTAGGCAAGAATAGCCTGCCGGCCCGGAAACAGTGCATTGTGGTATGCCGAAATGATCGAGACTTCATCTGCCTTATATATATATATATATATATATATATATATATATATATATATATATATATATATATATATATATATATATATATATACAGGTGATCTCGTGTTCGTATTTTAGCCAATCAGCGCTCAGAAAGGGTTGTCCAAATAGAAATCCATTTTGATGTATTCAGTCAATTATATCTTTCGTTATTCTTTATGAAACTAGTTGAAATTTTGTAATTATGTTTGGTTATGAGAACTATAGCTCCGACAAAAATATGGAATCGAAATAAAGTATATTACAGGAGATATTCAGTTGTTTTAATCACAAAATGGATTTCTATTTGACAACTAGTGCCAGTACTTTTCCGCGTATCAAGATCATCTGGATAGTTTTGCAGTTCTGACTGAGTACAATCTTAATCATTACAAATGAATGATGTCATCAGAAGCTGACATATGAAACAAAACTGTCAACAAACAGATTGGGTCGTTCCAGAAAAGATCCACACTCCCCCCACGGAGGAAATTTCTGCCGCCTGGAGGGGTAGGAGAGAACAAATTGTTTGTGATAATAGTAAATGTATTAGGACATCCGAAGGGGGTAGGGTGGTTCACTTCCAATTTCCTCCGTGGTGGTGGTATGGTGGTGGTGTGGTGGTATGTTTTCTGGAATGACCCATTTTGTCTCCTCATCCGGCATCAGCAGATTGTTTAGTTGTTTTGCAATTTAGGGGTCAGGGTCGTAGCAACAATAATTTGTAAACTAGCAATAATCACCCCAGACTAATCAGCCGCCAATACCGACAAAATTGCTTCCTACGGTAGTGTGGGTAGCTTTGAACTTTGAAGGTAACAAAGAACAGGCTCTATTTTACAAATATTCCCTGACACAAACCTTAATCCGATAGTTTTCCACCCATGTGCAGCAAAGTTTATATTTATTATCCAATCAAAATGTCGCAGGAGAAATTTAAATTTCGCACAAGGACAACAACAATCTAATTATAGTTGTGATCACTATGAACAACAATATAATATAATTAGCACCAACCAATCAAATGATAGATTAAAAAATTTACACCCGAAATATGATTGTAAGGCATGAAATTTTGTTAAGGTTTGTATCAGGCCTATTTATTTATTTATAGGCCTGATCGCAGATTACTCTGAATGTGCCATTAAAACGATAATTGGGTCAAAAACTGACTTAATATTTCTGCATATGAAATTGTTATTAAATTCTACATGTCCAATGATTCATTCAAGTATTATTATTGTTTATATATAATATGATATTGTACAGTATTCAGTTGCAAGCTAACTACAATGGCAACTGGTCATGCCACACCTATAAACCTGGATCTATTTGAATAATGCAATTCATTAAAAACTTGTATACTGTAGCATCTGCCTCGTCCCCAGGCGCTAATAAAAAAATTTCATGCGAGACACACTGTATGAAAGGTTTACATGAAGTAGTGCATCGCGACGAACAAGCGCAGGGAGTTATGGGCTTGAGGCATCGATATATCGAAAATTGAGGAGGGCCTGGGAGATCTTGTGCCGTTTCTTGCAAAATTTGTCTGTTTCTTGCAAATCGTGGTTTTTCGACAGTTTTGGGGGCTTTTTTCGCCATTTTTTTTTGAGGAAACAACATTTCAAATTGTTCAATTAAACATGTGATTACAGTCAGATGATATTTGATATCATTTAACGCTTTAAATGATTCCGAGATGTCAACACTTGAAAAGTTCAACGAGGCTGTAGAAGCCGGTTTATATAATAAATTTACAAGGTATGGAAAAATGACAATGCATTTTTATCACAATGAGCAATTTATTTTAAAAATATACAACTACAAGACGTTTTTTAAACAAGGGAGCGATGAAACTCTCTATTTTGTATTGCATTTGCAAGATTCTTCTCAGGATTTCAGTTACGAGCTTACTTACATGCAGTATGTTTGATTTTCACAATGCAAACGATCGACAATATTTTGAATAATTTGGGTAAGGATAGCTTTAATTCTTTCTGGTGATATACATGAAGGGATTTATATTTAGATCTGTTGTTTACTTGTATGTTCGACAGCTATTATGCAAGATCGGCCAGGCGCTAACCAGAACGCTCATATCCCACTCCCCTTTGCGCGCCTATAATGTGATGCACTACTTCATGTAAACCTTCATATAGTGAC